CTCACGCTCCCTCTGTCCCCGCAGGTCCCCTGCAGCCGTGGATGCCCGTGACGTCATGACCGCCGAGGACTCCGCCGCAGCCATGAGCAGCGACCCGGCCTCTGCGGCCTCCGCCAAGGTGCCCGAGGGCGTGGCCGGCGCGCCCAACGAGGCGGCGCTGCTGGCGCTCATGGAGCGCACGGGCTACAGCATGGTGCAGGAGAACGGCCAGCGCAAGTACGGCGGCCCGCCGCCCGGCTGGGAGGGCCCGCACCCGCAGCGCGGCTGCGAGGTCTTCGTGGGCAAGATCCCGCGCGACGTGTACGAGGACGAGCTGGTGCCCGTGTTCGAGACCATGGGCCGCATCTACGAGCTGCGCCTCATGATGGACTTCGACGGCAAGAACCGCGGCTACGCCTTCGTCATGTACTGCCACAAGCACGAGGCCAAGCGCGCCGTCCGCGAGCTCAACAACTACGAGATCCGCCCGGGCCGCCTGCTCGGCGTCTGCTGCAGCGTGGACAACTGCCGCCTGTTCATCGGCGGCATCCCCAAGATGAAGAAGCGCGAGGAGATCCTGGAGGAGGTGGCCAAGGTCACCGAGGGCGTGCTGGATGTGATCGTGTACGCCAGCGCGGCCGACAAGATGAAGAACCGCGGCTTCGCCTTCGTGGAGTACGAGAGCCACCGCGCGGCCGCCATGGCGCGCCGCAAGCTCATGCCCGGCCGCATCCAGCTCTGGGGCCACCAGATCGCCGTGGACTGGGCCGAGCCCGAGATCGACGTGGACGAGGACGTCATGGAGACGGTGAAGATCCTCTACGTGCGCAACCTCATGATCGAGACCACCGAGGACACCATCAAGAAGAGCTTCGGCCAGTTCAACCCGGGCTGCGTGGAGCGCGTCAAGAAGATCCGCGACTACGCCTTCGTGCACTTCGCCAGCCGCGAGGACGCCGTGCTCGCCATGAACAACCTCAACGGCACCGAGCTGGAGGGCTCGTGCCTGGAGGTCACGCTGGCCAAGCCCGTGGACAAGGAGCAATACTCCCGCTACCAGAAGGCAGCCAAGGGCGGCGGCGCCGAGGCGGCGGCACCCCAGCCCAGCTACGTGTACTCCTGCGACCCCTACACGCTGGCCTACTACGGCTACCCCTACAACGCTCTCATCGGGCCCAACAGGGACTACTTTGTGAAAGGTTTGTGGGGGCTGTGCTCCTGGGAGGGGCAGGGGGTCTCAGATCACCGCCCTCGGGGACCGAGCCAGTGGGGGTTTGCATTTTGAGCGCCCCGGTGCAGGTTTGCATTCTGAGCTCTGTTTTGCTGCAGCCACTGCTGTAGCGTTGAGACAAATGCAGACCGTGCTGGGGGCAGGGGTGAAGTCAGGGGCATGCAGGCTCTTGGGTTCTGCCTCCCCAGGGCCTACCCTGGTTATGGCTAGTCTGCTGATCTTTGCCTGCAAGAACTCAGCTGGGTCTGCAGGTGCTGGAGGGGGCGTTGTTACCCGGGGAAGGAGGGTAGGCAAGGTCTGGGGCTCGCTCTCCCGACGGCTGGGTCTGTGGCTTTCGTGGGTCACTTGAAATGCTCTGCCTGTTTTCTCACGCATGAAAGGAGGAAGCTGAACTAGCAGGTCCCCTTCCAGATCTCCCTTTTTTTTTTTCTAGTCGAATGTTTTCCTTTACTGAAGTTGCAGTTACAGTCCTTGAAACAGACCCTGTGGGTTCCCCCAAGGTGGAAATAGAACGTTCGAAGCATCTTTACCCACCCATGAAAGAGCCCGTGTAACTTAGTCTCAGGGCAGCCGCTCAGCGGGCACCTGGGCCGGGGTCCCCTCCCTGCCACCGTTCACTGTGGGTCGCTCATCATGTTTTGTGTTGTATCACAAGCAGGCAGCATACGAGGCCGAGGGCGAGGCTCCGCTGGCAACAGGGCCCCGGGGCCCCGGGGCTCCTACCTCGGGGGCTACTCCGCCGGCCGCGGCATATACAGCCGATACCATGAAGGGAAGGGAAAGCAGCAAGAGAAGGGTTACGAGCTGGTGCCGAACCTGGAAATCTCCACCGTCAACCCGGTCGCCATTAAACCGGGTACAGGTCAGTATATAACCCGGGGTGTGAACGCACCCACCAGCCCACCCCTCAGCCCTGTCTCTCAGGTGAGCCCAGGCCTTCCTCTGCTCCCCTTACACCTGCACATGGTTCCCCTTCCTCACAGGCTGCCAGAGACTGGGCGAAACCACTGTCTCCCTGGACCTTCTTTTTTATTTATGTATTTTTGAGATTTTTGCTGTAGGGCAATTGCACTCGTCACAGAGAGAGAGAGGGGGAAAGTGAGAAATGATCCCTTGGGGAATGGACATGCCGCAATCCCTTCTCTCGGGATTTTGGGCACATGCACATACATGCCCAATATGATTTGGAAGCCACCAGGCCCAGGGCTCGAACCAGGGTCAGCTATGCAGGAGTCCAACACCATAACTCCCAGCCCACCTGCTGGCCCTCTCCTCCTTACCTTTTATCAGCTAAAACCCATCTTTTCCTTACTCGGGCCTGTTTCTACCCCAGACAGCAGAAGGAGGCAGGTGCAGCTCATTACTGGTTCTTGAGTTTTGGGGAGAGTAGAAAATCCCCTGTCAGGAGCCAGCACTGTCCCTTCTCATGGACTGAGCGAATGAGGATACTTGGAGACAAAACAGAGGTTTTGTTTGTTTTTAGAGAATTGTTTTATTGAACTTTATCCATTTATTTATTTATTTTAATTTGACCAGCGAGGAATAGAAAGAGAGAGAAAGCGAGCTACCAGGTCCAGGACTTGAACCGCAGTTGGCCATGTAGGAGTCCAGCACCCTTAACCACCATGCTACCTGCTGGTCCCAAAGTTGTTTTTTATGTTTTTTTTTTTAATAAGAATTTTTTTTATTTAGTTTTAATTAATTAATTTATTTATTTATTTAGTTATTTTAATTTGACCAGAAAGGGTTAGGGGGAGAGAGAGAGAAAGTGAGAACGCAAACCACCAGGTTCAGGACTCAAACTGTCATCAGCCATTTGGGAGTCCAGCGCCCTTAAGCACTGTACCACCTGCCGGCGGCCCCAACAGCGGTAGACGTTTAAATAGCTTCTGATTCCCCGGATTCTACATTCTAGCACACATGTCCTCTTACTGGATCAGTGGGTGGATGGTAGAGACACTCGGAGAATTCTAGGGGAGGGTCTTGGCCTTTGCTTTCATTCCCCAGCCCCACAGACCGGTTTGCCAATGTTTGGGAAACAGAGCTCCTGAGGCTCGCCTGCAGAGAACGTCAGCTCCATCGTGCGAGTTTAGCACAGACTGGATGATAACACACACCACACAGGTGCCCAGTTACACCCGGTCACGGGGCAATCCCTCTACTTGTTCAGAAAGGCACTCCCGTTGGCAAAGTTACGGTGGCTTAAGGTTTAACCAGAGAAAAGGAGTGTTAACCAATCTGCAGGCGTGTAAGGTCATGCCTTGGCACCCAAGGTCGAAATTCCTGTGGGCTGGTGGCCAGAAACAGCCCAGAGCGTCTAAGCTCAGCCCCGTGTAACTGAAACTCATAACCTTCCCTGGGCCCCCTCACCCTGGCCTGTATGTGAATATCCACTGAATTAAAACCTTGGGTTTTAGGAGAGGCAGCAGGGCAGGGGTGAAGTTTCTGGGCACAGGACCCAAGGGAGGTATGGTTCGAAAGGCAGTTTTCGGTATAGGGACTGGCAGGTGGCATGGTGGTTAAAGGCCCTGGACTCCCATATACCTCACCGCAGTCTGAGTCCTTTTCCCTTCTCTTGCTGTCTGATCAAACTGGAAATGACTAATAATAATTAAAATTAATAAAGTTAAAATAATTCTTTAAAAAGATAAATAAAGTTTTAGTGACCAGCAGTTAGCATAATGGCTATGTTGCTGGACTCCCATGTACTCAAGCGTGATTAAAGTCCTGGACCCGGGGGCTTAAACTCACGCCGGGCGCATGTGCGTGCATGCCCAAGATCCTGAGAGGAGAATGGAGGAGAAGGGATTGCGGCATGGC